CCAAAAGCAATTGCTGCATTTGCAGCACTCACAGCAAATCAGTCTCTGGATCCTGCCAGATCACCAACTGCTTCCAGCGCCTCCCAGCCCAGCTCATCCCACACTGCCCTCCTCTCATCGGTGACAGCCTTTAGGAGTCCTCTCTGCCAGTGCTGCTTTGCTCTTAGACACAGGCTCTTGGATGGAGCTTAACAAAGTTCTTCAGTTGCTACCCTGCAATCTTAATAAGCACTCTTTCCCATCAGTGCTGTATAAAGACTGAAAGAGAAAAACACAAACAATTACACTGCCAGCGTGAAGGGTGGCATTTCAAAGAAGCCTATGGCAGATATTTGTATAACAGATACCTGACAGTTGTTCAGAAATCTCCTTTACTCTCTGGTGTAATTATAGCATTTTTATGAAATTATTAGGAGCAATTCCATATAGTTCTGCTGCCTGCAGAGTGCAGCAAAAACCACACTGTGTGAATCCAAGTTGGGCTCATCCTTGCTCACTTCCATAATCTGTGGTCACTTCAAGCAGGAAAGGGAAACTGGCTCACTTCATCCTGACAGTCTTTTTTTCTTCATTTTAACTCATCCTACTGAGCCAATGTACTAGACAGAGCAGCCATCCCCCCCCTACAAAGCAGTGAGAATAACTTAAGACAACGGAGGGATGTCAGTATGTTTTGCAAGAAGGGCTGGGTAATTAGAGGGAGAATCCAAATCACAGAGTTTGGAAAAAACTTGCCCACAGTCATGCAGATGAGTGTGGCACAGCAAAGCCCACAACTCCAGACTTAGACCCCTGGACTTCCCCATGCATCAAAGCATAGCACTGCCTTTGTTTTCTGTTACCTCTCCAATGCAAGTATGGGAATAAGGTGACAGCAACAGGGAAGTACAAAAGAGTTTTCCAGCTCCTTGTTAATCTCAGTGCGCATTTAGAGTGAGTAACAGTTCCACCATATGCATGCAAAATCTAGAAAATATACAACCAGCAATTTCAGGCCAATATAAACAGCCTTATTTGCAAGAGGGCATGTTGCATTTATCAAGATTACTTCAGTCTTTGGATTTTTTGTATAACTTTTCCTCTTGCTCTCTTTTTGCCTCAGTAATTCTAATGAATGTGAGTATGCACATGTAGGGGATGCTATTCCAGTCTTACTACAGCAGGTAATGTTACAAATGTGTGCCCCTTTCAAAATCACAAAGATGTGTGTGGTACCCCTTCTGCTTTGAGAGATAGGCCTGCAGCACTGAGCAGCTAAATGCTTTCTGGTAGGAGCAGTATTTTTCCATGGCTGCGTGCTGCTGGAATGTTTATCTTTGCTCGAGTTGCCTGGCTATTGCAAAGCTACTTGAAATGATTCATGGGTCTGACAGATGTCTGGTACAGCTGGATGTGTCCTTGATTATCCCAAAAGTCTGGACAATGCTGTCATTCACCATTGCCCAAATTATCTCTGTATTGACTGCAAAAGCCTCTGTGACAGTGCTGTAATGGCTAATTACCCAGGATACCTTTGATACTTACTTCGTAGTCCTTCAGAAGAGTTAAAAAGAGAGAGAGTGAAAGAGAAAGGGAAAGAAGTGGAGCAAAAACATACCAGTGAAAGTTATATTCTTATATGTTCTAAAACAGTATATGCTTTAGTTTACATGAGAATTTAGTGGGGTAATTATATCCAGGCTGTCCTTTGAAAATGGTCAGATTTCCAGCAAAATAGATAAGGAGGAACAGTAAAGAATCCTGACAATGATAAATCATGGACAATAGAAGGAGCTATTAGCCAAGAGAGAATTGTGTGTACATTCTTGAAAAGATGATGAGCAGTCTGCTTTATAAGTTACTGGAAAAATAATAACATGTTCTGCTTAGTAGATAACAAAGAGTGTCATGGGTAGCAATGCTAAATATGCATATACAGCTATCTCATAAAACTGCCTATAAGGAAGCATGAAAGCAAAGATCTCCTTTTCCCATTATATCATCAACATGCTTTGAAAAAAACAGTTTCTGCAAAGCACAAATGTATTAAGAAAAGGGGTGAAAGAAGATAGAGTACAAAAATCTCATTTTAGTGAAGATGATATACTTAAATATCAAATTTTTTTTCATTTTATGTCTCAGAATTTCCTTACCTTTCATTAGCATCAAAAGCGTCTACTTGTCAATCCGCTACAATACCTGTAAAACCAAGAAACAAGATTTCAACATTTTTACTGGAGGAACTAACCACAGACAATCACAGCAAAATACCGTCTACCTCTTTGCATGGTTATGGCACTGCAAATGGAAAGACAACATATGAAATATGGAGCAGGACTGAAATATTTTCGTAATGCCATTGCTCAGGTTCCTAGAGGATCATACTCAATTGCATGCAGACAAATTAAATTTCTAGTTCTTGCAGTGTAAACTAAATCCTGACTGCTGTAAAACCTTGCAAAACTAAGTTTGTTACAAGGTAAAACAAATATTTGGCAGCATAGGTCCACTGATCCTGTACAGCAAGGTGTGTGTCAGCTAAGGACCTGACCTGACAACATGTATTCAAAACTTGTAAATAAGCATTAGAAAGGTTTGGCTAGAATAAAACAATATAATCTAAATAATCACGTGTGCTGATTTCAGTTTTAATTTTGCAGCATCTTGATACCTTGAAGACATACAAGGGGGCTGAGTGTATAAATGAAAACTGCCAGAGAAATGACAAAGGAATTTTCCTCTGCTAGAAATACAGACTCTTGCTCATGCAGTCCTTCTGGGCTGACCAGTCAAGAACAGAATAATTTCTGATATTTGCTTTTTCAGCTACCTAAACAGGACTGTATGATGCTGGAAATACAGAAAACCCCAAGGACGCTTAACACCAATTATATTTGGTGACAGCTCTTGCAGTGAATTAGATTTCAGCTCTGAACTTCCCAATGGCTTTTGATCACACTGCATGGTACAATTACTGATTACTTAATATGAGGTCATACATACAAACTGTCTGAGATGAGTCTAAGTCTTGCAAACTGTCCCTGAATTCAACAGGTAGGAGCGAGGCATTGACTGATGGTGTCCTGATATGGAAATGTAGAGGCTGTGATTGAAAATGTGAGCTTTTACTGGAAATTTCTGTAAAGATGTAAATTTAAAAAACTGAAAATTAAAAAAACTGTAAATTAAAAAAACTGAAACTCATAAAACAAATGCTCTTGTACTTTACATTTTACACAATTCATCAGGATCACTTACTGGTGTGGCTGGGGCTGGATGAATCAGCAGGAAAGGGTGGCACAGAGCAGCACTCTGCCTGTCCTTAGCCCTTTACCACACTCTTGGTGGCAGAGCAGAGAGATCTCCATAACAGGTATTGCCTCTCATGTTTTAATACCTCTTTCATTTGTTCTAAATTGTGGAATATTTTTAAGATGGATTTTATATTAATATTCTATGCCAGTGGTACTAGTAACGAAGCGCTTGAGAGACTCAACAGGCAGGTACCCAAGGAGTGTACATTCACTGCTTTGACCAACCTTTTTTCTGTTGAATCTTTGTGCCATGATTTTCAAGAGATCACATATTTTTACTTCTTGTACCTGAAGCACTTCAAATGAATTTTGGAGAGAAGATTTGTAACACTTTCTGAGAAAGGCTGTATCAGTGAACTCCCAAACTAATCTCTCACTCTTCCTTCTTCCTGGTCACTTTTGAAAACTT